TGGAACTCACTTGGTAGCCCAGGCTGGCCTTGAACTCACAGAGATCCGCCTGCCTCTGCCTCCCGAGTGCTGGGATTAAAGGCGTGTGCCACCACCGCCCAGCGAAGATGGTTTTTAAATTCCAGCATTAAGTCTTCTGGTCAGTCCACAAACATGTTTGTGTGTTTTGTTTTGCTTTGTTTGTTGTTGTTGTTTGTTTGTTAAAACAGTTTCTCTGTGTAACTGTCCTAGAACTTTGTAGACTAGGCTGTCCTCTAACTCACAGACATCCACCTGCCTCTGCCTTCCAAGTGCTAGGATTAAAGGTGTGTGCCAGTTTCTTTGAGCAATGTTTTATGCTTTTCACTGTGTAAGTCTTTCATCCTCTTAATTTTATTATATTTTTTAAGTAATTTTACTTTAAAAAATTTTTTTTTAATTTAATTTTTTTTGCCTTGGTGTTTTGCCTGCATGTATGTGTGAGGATTACAGACAGTTGTTAGCTGCCATATGGATGCTGGGAATTGAACCTGAGTCCTCTGGAAGAGCAGTGAGTGCTCTTAACCACTGAGCCATCCCCTTTATTACATTTTTATGCTATTCTAAGTGTAATTGTTTTCTTAAAATTTTCTTTTCAGCTGGGAGATGGTGGTAAATGCCTTTAATCCAAGCATTTAGGAGGCAGAGGCAGGCAGATCTCTGAGTTCCAGGACATCCTGGGCTACACAGAGAAACTGTCTCAAAAACAAATGAACAAACAAAAAATTTATTTTCAGATTGTCTCTTGATAGCCTATAACAAGAGAATCGGTTTATGTTGGTTGTGTATCAGAAAACACAGATATTTATATTACAATTCATAACAGTAGCAAAATTACAGTTATGAAGTAGCAACAAATAATTTTTTAGTGGAGGTCACCACAACATGAGGAATTGTAATAAAGGGTTGCAGAATTAGAAAGGTTGAGAACCACTGCTCTGGCAGCACCTAATGCATTCTTAGTGCCCTGTAAGACTTCTGCTCTGCCAGGGGATACTCAGACCCTACAGCTGTAAGCTCTTCCTTTCAGAACTGAAAACGCCATGCTTAGAAAGGCCATTTCACCTGCCACTATGTTTGAGGGCTTTTCTTCTTGTTGTTTTATTGGGTTGTTTTTTTTTTGTTTTGTTTTTTGTTTTTTTTTTTTGAGACAGGGTTTCTCTGTGTAGCCCTGGCTGTCATGGGACTTGCTCTGTAGATCAGGCTGGCCTCTAACTCAAAAATCCTTCTGCCTCTTCCTCCTGAGTGCTGGGATTAAAGACATGTGCCACCACTGTCCAGCTTATGTTTGAGTTTTTATACTAAGCATATTATTTTGGTTTTCCCCTATTTATGGGTGATGTGTTAGAGTTATGATCTGTAAGTTCTAAATTGTTATCTTCCCTCCCTCCCCAAGATAGAGTTTCTCTGTGTAACAGTCCTGGCTGTCCTGGAACTCAATTTGTAGATGAGGCTGGCCTCGAACTCATTTCCTGAGTGATGGAATTAAAGGCATGTACCACCACCACCCAACTGTGTGTTTAGCTAGTCTTAATAAAAACAAGGAGAGATGGAGTTTATGAAGCATCTGTTCTGTGTCTGTATTTTATAACTTTATCTTGGGTTAACTCACAAGTCTGTCTGACTTTGATCTGTATACTTCTCTGCTCTGGCTCTGAGGGGATAGCCATGAGCTACCAAGGAGTAATAGGCCTCTGTTTGCAGGCAGAGAAGTTGAAGCACAGAGAGCTCAAGGGACTTGACTCTCCCAGGAGCTTCTAGTTAGGAAAAAACAAATGACATTAGAACCTAGGTTAAGCATCCCCAACAAGTTCTGTCCTCTATGTAATCAGTGTATCAGTGATTGCCCCCAGTCCCATGGGGCCCACAGAGTAAAGCAGTCGCAAATTCCAACTGGAGTAAACTGCCTTCCTGGTTGGCTCTTTTCACTATGCCCTTCAACCGCTATTCTTGTTGTCAGCACCGTCACTCAGGTGGCAGTGATTACAGGGTTCTAAAGACCCTTAAGAGAAAAGCTAGAGTTTGTTTTTTAGGTATATATGACTTGATTTTAAAAAACAACTACTCGATTTCAGTGTATACACCAAACGATTTCAGATCCACTCCTTTGTTTATCTACTAGTTTGATCCTTATTGCCCAGCCCCATATTGTTCAGTTCTTTTCTTTAAAAAAAAAAAAAAAAACTTTATTATGCTGGGCTGTGGTGGCACACACCTTTAATCCCAGTACTCAGGAGGCAGAGGCAGGGGGATCTCTGTGAGTTCGAGGCCAGCCTGATCTACAGAGGGAGTTCCAGGACAGCCAAGGCTACACAGAGAAATCCTGTGTCAAAAAACCAAAAAACAACTTTATTATTACTGGGAGGAGTGGTGGGAGGGGAAACTGCAGTCAGGATATAATATATGAGAGAAGACTTTATTATTGCTGTGTATATGTTTGTACATGTGTGTCCTTGCATGTTCACATGTGTGATGTGTGTATGCAGGCACACGAGTGCCACAGTTCCTTGTTGGAGGCGTCTGTCTTCTCCTTGTACCTTCACATGGCTTCCAGGGGTTGGACTCAGGTCCTCAGGCTGGCATGTCGGGCACATTTCCCTGCTGAGCCATCTCACTGCTCTTGTCGTGTTGCATTCTGAAAGCTTCTGTTTGTGAACATGACAGTTCAGGGTTTCTTAGAGGCCAGTAAAACAAATACATATTCAGGTTTGAGCCAAACAGGCCTGGGAGAAAATGGCCTTTGTGGTTTCCATAGAAACAACATATAAAAATTTCCCTGGCCCCTCCTCCTTAGCACTTACTCTGCTCTGTGTTGACTGTGACCAGTTAGGCCTCAGCCCTAGGTTAGAAACTTAGAGAAGATTATTTGTTCTCTATAGAGTACTGGCATAGTTCTGTTTCTTCCTCATACCCTGACCACATCTAGGTATATACAGTATAACTTATATGAGCTGTGATTTTTTTTCAAGTTTTATTTAATAGACTAGGTGATATCTTTCTTTAAAAGAAAAAAAAATTCATGTTAAAGTACATGTCAGTCCTTAACAAATGAACACCACTTACTCAATATCCATTTATTCTACACTTCTTTTTTAGGTCCTGTTGTGGTCTTAGCTATTACAGAGGATTGTTTGTTTGTTTTAAACAGGGTTTCTCTGCCTGTCCTGGAACTTGCTCTGTAGACCAGGCTGGCCTCGAACTCACAGAGATCCGCCTGCCTCTACCTCCCAAGTGCTGGGAATAAAGGTGTGGGCCATCACCACCTGGCTACAGAGGATGTTTTAATGATATGTTACTATAAGTGTTCCGTAACTGGGTTCTGACAACCCAGTTTGGTGACACACACCTATAGTCTTAGCAACTTGGACTGCTTGAACCTAGGAATTTCAGACTAGCCTGGATACTGTAACAAGGCCCTGTCTCAAACAAATCAACCCAAAGATGATGATATTGTAACTCTCAGTGCTTCTGTAATTGTTATTCTTGCTAGGCCCCTTTCTAAGTATTTAATTTGATTAATCCTCACAAGAATCCAGTGAGGTAGGGATTTTGAGGTACTTCACTTGAGATAGTTCAATAATTTTGCCAAGTTTGTGTTAGAAGTGGTAATACTCTGGATTTAAAAAAGGTGGTCTGCTTCCAGAATTTATACCATTAACCATGATGCTGCCCTTCCTTTCTCAGAATCTACATAATTATGAATAGTAAATAATAGTAGATAATTTTACAAAGGAAATAATATTGAATAGAGCAAGTAGGAGATTATCACTGAAGAATGGAGCTTCAGTTAGGAAAGTGAAGACTCAAAGAGTTGAGGAATAAACTTTGTGGCTTGAAGGTAGAGTAAATGGGCAAGGGGAAAGTCGTGGTTCTAGGAGGCAAATGTCCAGAGACTGTGTCCAGATATACTGGGAATAGCCAAAGAAGTCCATAGAGGATGAGAGACCTGGACTGTAAACTCTTGAGTCCTACAGACAGAACAGATCTGATATGTGTCCATTTCTTGTCAAAGATATCAGAAGAAGAGATTGAAAGAATCATGTCTGGACAGGAGTTTGAGGAAGAAGCCAATCACTGGGGCAACCATGGTGACAGCGACCACAGTTCCCCTGGGAACAGGGCTTCAGAGAGCAACCAGCCCTCACCAGGCTCAACACTGTCATCCAGGTGAGCTAAAGGCAAACACAATATCATCACCTAGGGACCACCCATCGAGTAGCCCTCCAAATAACCTCTGGTAGAGTGCTCGTCTACCAGGCTGTCTCAGCCTTTGTGCCCTTGGTCCCTCAGGCTCTTGGGGACCAGAATGGTACAAGGCCAGCTTTCCAAGCCCAGTCTTTTTCCAAGACTAAAACAAAACATCAGTCTCTTTTGCAGACTGATAAGTGCCTCTTCTATGCATGCCCACATAGGCTTCATTTAGCAGAATTACGTTTCAATACACTGACTGCAGAATTGAGTGAACAATTTTTCTGACTCACCAGAGTCAATGTTGTTGGGGAATTCAAGATTAAAGCCTCTTGAGGCAATCATGCTTTCTTAAGTTAGCTAATAGCTTTCAGCTGCAATGGAAGGGCTTCTCACCCCAGAAATCTTTCATATAGGACAAGAATTAACAAATACTTTCTTGAAATGGCACATAGTAAGGGACTGGAGAGATGGCTCAGCAGTTAAGAGCACTGGCTGCTCTTCCACAGGTCTTGAATTCAATTCCCAGCACCCACATGGTGGCTCACAACCATCTGTAATAGGATCTGGTGCCCTCTTTTGACATGCAGGCAAACGTGCAGACAGAGCACTCATGTACATAAATAAATAAATATTTAAAAAAATAAAATGTCGGGCTGGAGAGATGGCTCAGAGGTTAAGAGCACCGACTGCTCTTCCAGATGTCCTGAGTTCAATTCCCAGCAACCACATGGTGGCTCACAACCATCTGTAATAAGGTCTGGTGCCCTCTTCTGGTCATACATGCTGTATACATAATAAATAAATAAATGAATGAATGAATGAATAAATAAATCTTTAAAAAAATAAATAAAATGTCACAAAGTAAGGCCTGTGGAGATGGCTCAGTCAGTAAAATGTTTGCTCTGCATTCATGAGGCCCCAAGTTCGATCCCCAGCACCCAGATAAAAGCCAGATGCAGTGAGGAATATATAGACTTTGTCTCCTCCTAGCACTAGGGAAACTGTGGCCACTGAGGCTCAATGGCCAGCTATTTTAGCTGAATTGGTATGCTCCAGGTCCTGTTAGACACCCTGTCTCAAAAGCATAAGGTGGAGAGCCATTGAGAAAGACACTTGACATCAACCTCAGGCCTATACACATGTGTACAATCACATATGCAAATGATAAAAGAAATTCTCTTTAAAAAATGTTTTTCCAGGACGGGGGCAGGGCTGCATAGAGAGCCTATCTACAAACAAACAAACAAACAAAAATTTAATATAGTAACTATTTTAGACTTTCTAAGCCTGGCCTGGGTGCCAGCTCCCCAACTCTGCCTTAGTGGCTCAAAAGCAGCACACAACATATGTAAAGCAGTGAGTGTGGCTTTGTTTCAATAAAACTTAAATTTACCAAAAATAGATCCTGTAGGCTGTAGTTTGCTAAACTCAGTTATAAGGGATACATCTAGGTTTTTCTATGTATCCCTATGAATTTTTTTATTTTTATTTTTATTTTTTTTTGAGTTGAGAATCGAACCAGGGCCTTGTGCTTGCTAGGCAAGTGCTCTACCGCTGAGCTAAATCCCAACCCCGATGATTTTCAGAATGTTAATTAGCAATGGGCTGGTAAGATGGTTCATCAGGTAAAGGCACCTGCTGCCAACCCTGACTACCTAAGATAACCCAGGACACACATGGATGAAGAATAGAACTCCCAGTAGTTGTCCTCTCACTTCACATATACGTCATGAAATTCACTCACTCATGCACTCTTATCCGGAAGTACAGATCTAAATAAAGAGATTGAGAAAATGGTTAGGTTTCTCCAAAAGTGAGGAAACAGGGAAGAACCTGCCTTCCTCTTTAGACTCATTTAGAGCTTTTTCTCCCATTCAGCTCTTCCCTCACTCTTTCTTTTTAGTAGTTAGGGACTTAAGGACCTCAACTATATTCCATTCTAGATACTGGATTTTGTTTTTGGACTAATTAAGTCCACTTAGCTTGTCCTGTACCCTTGTTTTCCTAATAGTTAAAACAACAATGTAAACACACATTTTTGTCACAATAGTCTACTGGTATATATTAAAAACTCTTCCACTTTTTGGCCTTTGGCTCCAAGATGACCAAAAAGAGAAGTAACAACAGTGTCCAAAAGGCCATGTGCAGCCAATTCACTGCACAAACTGTGCCCGGTTTGTGCCATTAAGAAGTTCGTCTCCAGGCAGTGGTGGCGCATACCTTTAATCCCAGCACTAGGGAGGCAGAGCCAGGCGGATCTCCGTGAGTTGGAGGCCAGCCTGGGCTACCAAGTGAGTTCCAGGAAAGGCGCAAAGCTACACGGAGAAACCCTGTCTCAAAAAAACCAAAAAAAAAAAAAAAAAGAAGTTCGTCATTAGGAACACTGTAGAGGCCGCTGCTGTCAGGGACATATCTGAAGCAAATGTCTTCGACACTTATGTGCTTCCCAAACTCTATGTCAAGCTGCATTACTGCATGAGCTGTGCTATTCATAACAAGGTAGTAAGGAATCGATCCCGTGAAGCCTGCAAAGACCAAACACCCCACCACGATTTAGACCTGCTGGTGCTGCACCATGACCTCCACCAAAGCCCATGTAAAGAGGTAGCTTTATAAAGACAGAAGATAAAACGCCTTGGAAAAATTAAATGGGACTTACACGTTTAAAAAAAAAAAACTCTTCCAAGCTGGGCTTGGAGGTGAAGACCTACTGTCCCAACTATCCAGGAGGTTGAGGCAGGAGAATCACAACTTCAAGACCTGCTGGGGCTACACAGTGAAATCAAGGTTAGCCCTGGCAACTAGCCTTAGAGACAGGGTCTCCAAATATAATGTTAGAAGATAGAAGAGCACTAGGATATAGCATAGTGGAATAGCACCTGCCTAGCATGAACAAGGTACAAAGTACAAAGATGCCATCTAATCCATATTTATTTATATCTCCTCTTCTGCTGTCACTGAGTTTGCCAATGGTGAGCCCCATGTTTCTGTACCCACACAGAGTCCTTGTCTCATGGATGGAATGTAATAGGGTAGACATGCATGTAACCTTTAATTTTGTCCCATCAATTGATTAGTCACAGACTTCATGACCAGTGAACACCTCAGCCATTTCCTGACTTATTCCTTTGAGCAGGTACTCAACCTGCCATGGCTTTTCCTGATGTGAAGTTTTTCTCTCCAGTAGGTCTGTGGAACTAAATGGATTCATGACATTCAGGGATCAATACATGGGGATGTCAGTGCCTCCACATTATCAATACATACCACACCTTTTTAGCTATTCTGGCCACTCACCACTTCTGCCCCCACAAGCTCGAAGCCTGGACCCTCAGTCCTACAGCCTGATTCACCAGCTGATGTCAGCCGAAGACCTGGAGCCATTGGGCACACCCATGTTGATTGAAGATGGGTGAGTGAATTCTGCCCTGCTTTGCCCCTCGAAGTCTCAAAGTGTCCCTACCATGCACCAATTGTATCCCCAGCTTTGTCACTGAAGGTGTTGGTCTCTTATGTTTCCTTAAGCATATATTATCAGAGAGTTCAGGTTACTTTTCATTTCCTATGAAATTAGGAGTGTAGGGCCTTCATTTCTTTGTGGTTCTAGGTAAACCAAGCCCTGAAATGATTGCTTTTGTGTCAGAAATAAGCTCTACATCAGGCCTAAGGTTTTTAAATCTTTCAAGCCTTAATTGGTTGTGACCTGTCTATATCCCTAGCCAACATGCCCATGAGTAACCTATGGCATGTGACTAGCGCCTTTGGTACAGGCCTGAATAGGTGGAAAAGATACCTCAGTCTGCATTTGACCCTATTTGGGTGTTGTGTAGCACCTGGGCCACCCATTCTTGCACCCATTACTTCTTAGGTACAGAACATGGGTTGCTAGAGTCTTTAATCTCAGGCCTCCCAGAGGGTATCCTGAGATCCTCAGCTAGGCTTCAGTTTCAGGAGAGTAGACTAAAACACATACAGAAAGTATCCCCCAGAGCTTTTATGTAGCGTATGAGGAAGAGGATGACAAGGAGACCAGGGATTGTGAGAGGAATAAAGCTGAGACTCAGAGGCCCCTGTGGGCTAGAACTGAGAAATAGCTTATTGGAAAGGCTGAGCAACTCTGGTTCCTGAACTATTCACCACCAGGGGGCACAGTGAGGACAGGAAAGGATTCTGAATGCCTCTGTTCTCTTCAGCAGTTTGGCCCTTGGTCATGTTTGGCTTTGGGTTTTGTTCTTGTTTTTGTTTTCTTGCATGTATAGTTGTTGTTCCTTATACTGGATATGCTCCAGACCCACCCCATTCGAGTTTTCATTATCAAAACTAGAGCGGGAATGAGTAATAATTTCTCCTAGGACATGAAACATAAGAGAACACTAACATTCAGAGTGTTATTCCCTCATAATTCCAGAAGTTTCTAAACCTCCTTTCCCCTCAGCAGCCTCTTCTCAGCAAATCATCTCAATGCTCCCCAACCCCACTCCAGCTTTTTGCTGGTCCCAGCCCTACCTCTTTATAATAAGTTGAGTGAAACTGGAAATCCATGCCAAGGACATACTGTGCCCTCAAGGAATACCCTCCTCCTTTGCTCCTACCCTCACTCTCTGGCTGATGAAAGTGACTCTCTCCTGTCCCTACCTCCAGATATGCTGTGACACAGGCAGAGCTATTTGCTTTGCTTTGCCGCCTGGCCGACGAGTTGCTCTTCAGGCAGATTGCCTGGATCAAGAAGCTGCCTTTCTTCTGCGAGCTCTCAATCAAGGATTACACGTGCCTCTTGAGCTCTACATGGCAGGAGTTGATTCTACTCTCTTCCCTCACAGTTTATAGCAAACAAATCTTTGGGGAACTGGCTGATGTTACTGCCAAGTACTCACCCTCTGATGAAGAACTACACAGGTGAGAGCTGCTGACTGGGGAGGACATTCTGAGCAACCAAGCCATCACCCTCGCTGTGAGGCAAGGCTACCTAGTCTCCAAAGGGGGAACATTGAATCCCACAGACCTGGATTTTAATACTACCCTGTCATCAGCCAAATCACAGGTTCTAAGTGAATAGAGTAGGTGCCTCTCCAACAAGGCAGGGATGATGAGTAAGTGTCATACAGTCAGATTGGCAGTGCTACGCTGTTACTTTAATGTTATGTCTACATTAGTGGGGTGATATATCTGAGAAAAACAAAAATCTAAACTCTACCCCAAGGGAAGGGACTCTAGACTTGGAAGTCACCTTGGTATTATTTGTAGGCAGCTTTATATTACTGATTCTTTCTTACACTTATAGTAGCATAGTCTCTATTGTGCTTGTTTATAGATGACAAGGTTGAAGTTCAGAGAACCTGGCCCTTAAGGGTTTTGGATTTTAATCTAGAAACTAGTCTTGAGCTTATCCCATAACTCCCCATCCCTACCCTCTGCATTCTACCTGACTGTTTAGACTCTTTTGTGGTACCTGAGGTGGGGTGAGATGTTAAGAGCATAGCACTGAGCCAAGCAGGTCTCCTGGCTGTTCTTTGCCATAAGGTTTCCTTCTGGCTAACCAGCGTCCTCTAACCTCCTCTAGAACAGCCTTTTTCCTCCCTGCTGCTTCTATGACCTATCCACGTACTATTTTAGTCACTTTTTTTGAAGACCTAGGGAAAATGGGACCCTTAATTTCTGACCCCGAAATTAAGACATGCATCTGTTCAATAACTTTTCTGGTTTATTAATTTATTCATATGAAATGTCTTACATAGCTCAATTCACATTTAAATAGACATTCAATAAACCACCTTTTTTGGACAGTTTAATTAATAGAAGTCATACAATTTAAAGGTACCCAGAACAAGGATATTTATTTAGATACAGTAGAGATAAGGTACCAACTCCCATAATTCTCTTCGTGGGACTGGGATACATGAGTTCCACCATCCTGTGCGTTACATAAAAACAAGGCCAACACTTAAGCAGGGAGCAAAGCTTCAAGTCCTTCAGGAGCTTTGTGCACAGCTGAGTGAGGGTCTGGGAGCTGACTCTCTCTTGCTTTTCTTTTTTTCTTTTTTTTTTTTAAAGATTTATTTATTTATTATGTATATGGAAGAGGGTGCCAGGTCTCATTACAGATGGTTGTGAGCCACCATGTGGGTGCTGGGAATTGAACTCAGGACCTCTGGGAGAGCAGTCGGTGCTCTTAACCTCTGAGCCATCTCTTCAGCCCCCTCTCTTGCTTTTCTAGCATCCTTGCTTACTGGCTTCAGGGTGTACCTACCTGACATTTTGTCCTATAAACAGAGCTATCTAATTTTACAGATGACCTAATAACCCCTTGTCTAGGAGCCTCTAATTCATTGTTTCCCTCAAATTTCTGTCTCCAGCTCATAACTTTGGATTGAAGGGCTGTTTGGATATTGTTGGTTTGTAGATTTGGCCTCAGGGAGCCCAGCCTCCCTGTTTTTCTGGGAACAACTAGCTCCTCCTGGGATGGACTACCTATAGCTGCAGTGGAATCAGCCTCTAGGTCCTTGCTCCCTACAGCTTGGAAGGTTTTCCAGGCCCTCTTCAGCACTGTGTTAGGAGTTGTCAGGGGCAAGGATTCTCGGAACACAAACCATGCAGATAAGGTTTCTGTCTTTCATTCCTTTTTCCTTCCCTCTCTCCCTTCCTTTCTGGTCCCAGATATTTAAACTCAAGGCCTTACACATGCTATGTAAGTACTCTACCATTGCGATAACATCCCTAACCATTTCTCATTTATTTTGAGATAAGAGCTCACTAAGTTTCCCAGGCAGGCCTCAAACTTAGAATCCTCCTGCTTTGGTTGTCTGAGTAGCTTCAGTAATAGCTATGTACTACCACACCAACTTAGACATGGTTTCTGACTCTGAGAGTCCCAATTCTCATTTTATAGTAACAGATGCAGTCTCAATGTAAGGTCATATTGAAGGAGATTGAGGAGAATATAAGGACTATTCAAACCCAGACTAAGAAATGAAGGATGTACTTGCATACTTGGCTTACCACAAAAACAGACATTTGAGCTGCATTTTAAAATGAGAATTTTCTAAGTATGGTATAGAGAGCAAGATGAAGGCAGAAGAGGCCAACCTGGTCTGCAGAACAAGTTTCAGGGCTATACAGAGAGACCCTAGAAGAGCTGGGCATGGTGGTCCAGTCCCAGAACTGGCCAGAGGCAGGAGAATCTCTGAGTTCAATGCTAGCCTGGTCTACAGAGCAAGTTCCAGGACAGCTTGGGGTACCTGGTGAGACCCTGCCTTAAAAAACAAAAAGAGAAAGAAGACTTTGGATTTGATTTGTTAGTAGCATTGCATCACAGGAATTACTTGGGCGATTTACTTTTGAGAAAGCATTCTGTGGCTCTTTGGTGTGGTCAGGACTAGAGCATGGTTGAGTAGGAGGTTGCTCTGTTTCTGTGGAAAGGAAAAGAAGGCCTGGATGACAGAGCAATGATAGGGAAGAGAAGCTAGCGGTGTCAAAGACATGGAGTCAGCAGGACTTCTGTGAGCAAGGAAAGTTGTGGGTAGTTGTTGGGTAGGTGGGCACAGGTTATTTTAGCCAGGATAAAGCATCAAGGAAGAACATGATGGGAGATAAGACACTCTGTGTTTGGCTTGGGTGTCTGTGAAGTCTGAGTCGCATGTAGGTCATAAGATCTGGAAGCTGAACCTCTGGAGTTAGGTTAATCACTGCCAAGCATCCTCTCTCTGCTAGAAGCCCAGGATGTAGAGTCTAATTGGCCATAGCTCTTTCTTTCTTTTCTGTACTACTCCCACTCCCCCAGGCAGCCTTTGCTGCTTCACAGCTCCTGAGTGCGAGTGCCCGCTGTCAGGAAAAGTCTTCCCAGATGATGCACGACTAGCTCCTTTTCTCTTCTCAATACTGAATCAAGTTTATGGTGCTTACTCCACATCAGACTTGTTATCAAACACAGAGGTGGACAAATGTGATTTAAAGCAGATTGTAGCACCAGCCGGGGACTGCTCCCAGCCCTAATCAACACCCTTTCACTCCCTGGAAAAGATGCTTTGAGTTAGATGGACTTTAATGGGCACTTTTAACTAGTTCTCAGGCTCAGGAAACAGACTTTTTGCTCCTTATTACAGGAGAATGCCAATGATAGTAATACTATAAATGTATAATGGTCAACAGGATTTGTTGCACCAATTTTTATGATTGTTTTACTTACATTACTGTTGAGTCATTGCTGCCATCCTTTGAGACTTAGATATAAGTACCTTGAATTTCAGAGAGATGAAAATTCGGTGCTACAAAGGTAGGAAAAGATGGAGCTAAGATTCCTACGTAGGTCCGTTGTGCTCCTAAGCCAGATCTCTCCACCATTACTTTATACCAGATTCTTAGAAGGAGTGACTTTCTGGAATGTATCCTGGAGCTGTAATCTGACTTGTATGTGGATGTGAAGGTGACAGTTCCTTAAAGACTGTAGCTGATGAGCTGCTCAGGAGGGTACATTTAGATGAATGGGAAAGAGAGCTGTTCCTCTCTGCCCCTTAATAGTGTATAACTTATATAGTGTCAGCTTCAATTGCTGACTGAATGGTCCAGTGGTTTGGGAGATCCTGGCAGGAATGTTTTCCTTGTCCTAGAATGTTTGTGTGATAGGAACTTAAGAGAAGAATGGGTGTGTTTGTCCAACTTTATGGCTTTGAATGCTGATAATTTGTAGACAGGGAATACAGGGGTGTCAGAACTGTGGAGTGGGCAGATGTGGAGGAGGAATGGCTGGAGGAGAAAGCAGGCCTGTAGAACAGAGACCAGCTTTGTTTATCAAAGGGTGGGATGCGGGTGTGGAGGAAAGCTTTTCAGCTAAGCTGTGGAGACTGAGTGGGGACCACTGCCAAGGGACTGTGATGGCTGCTTTTTGTAAGATATTTGGAGAAGGGGTGTGCTATCCCCAAAAGAAAGGGCAGACCTTGGGCATATGTACAGGCCTAAGCACTTGAGAGCTCATTTGTGTCCCCCAGGCCAAGACAGCCAGGAGCAGATTTGGCACTGCCAGGTCAGGGTCTGGATGTTAGCCACACACCTGCAGGTCCTGCCATGCCATAGTAAGCTCTGGGGCAAGGGGCTGCTGATTAAGGGACTGAGTATTATTTGTGCTTGCTGCATTGCTCAGCCACCAGACAGATGTCAGCACTATTCTCCCTGCCTTATTTGTTATGCCCTACCTCAGCTTATCCCCGCCCTACTCCTCCAAGTAGATACTACAGGGAATTGTCATTGAGGCCCTTTCTCTCTCAACAACTTAAATAGCCAGCAAGTACTTTTATGAGGAGTGGTCTTCACCCCTAGGCACGCTGCTTCCTCCAAGACTCATCGTGCAAGCGGCAAAAAAGTACCCAGCACCTCCTAGGGCCAGGCCCCAGAATGAGCTGCTGTGGGAACACAAAGCTCTTAAGGTTTCACATGATAGCATGTGGCAGACGTTTTCAGGTAGCACTTAAGAATTTGACAGGGTAGGTAGTACAGCCCTGGGAAAGCCCCTATGCTTGGAATTCAAAAGCCCTGCCTCTTTCTTACTGTGTAACTTTGAGAGAGTCACCTCTTTCTGCTTCCTCATCCTAATACAGAGGTATATGGTTCATCTCTCAAGTTGTCAGGAAAATAATGCCCGTGAAAGGCCCTTGGTCAGGAGCACAGTCAGTGGCCACTGTGAGCCTTGCCACACGTGAACAAAGGAGATTTTTTTTTTTTGCATTATATATATATATAAAACAATACCATTCAGTTCTATATATCAGCCATGGGTTTTCCCATATTATCCCCCCTCCCACCCCCTCCCCTTGCCCCTAGTCTACCCCCCATTCCCACCTCCTCCAGGACAAGTCCTCCCCCGAGGACTGCGATCAACCTGGTAGACTCAGTCCAGGCAGGTCCAGTCCCTTCCTCCCAGACTGAGCCAAGTGTCCCTGCATAAGCTCCAGGTTT